CGACTTCCATCCGGTGTAATTTTTTTAAAAATTTGCTTTCGTTCTTATCAGTGATTTTATCATCTTTTTCGACTACTATATCTCGATCTATCTCTACGCTTTCACCCTCTCCCTCTCTTGCTCTGCCTCCCTCTTGATCTGCTCTAGCTGATGTCTCCCTCGATCTGTCTCTACTCTTTCACCGGCCAGCTCTCCTTTTCCCGCCTTTGGCTCCCGTTCTCCCTCTTATGTCGTATAGGATGTTCCTTAATTTCCTTTACCTCTTTCCTTTGCCCTTTGTATTCTTTTTTCACCCCTTCCAAGTAGCCTATGCATTCTGATTTCTCTTTCATCCCTCGGTCCATCTCATGTATTTTTACATGACTATACCAGTCTCCTTCCGTCTCCTTATATCTCACCATGTTTCACTTTGATGACGTCATCACAGTGACAATTTTGATTGAATGCGACATGTCAGAATTTTCTTAGTTTGCGTGTCATGCCTATTGGAGGTGACTTTTTCTGAAATCTGCATTAGGACATTCTAGTCTTGTTTGAGCAATATCTCGATTATTTTTTCTCGATTTTCTGCAAGCTTCGAATATGTTGTAGCTGAGAAAATTCTCTACACTTAAGGTCACATTTTTTTTCTATAAATCAGATGTTGGGATCATGGCGATATTCCAACGACAAGATGTGAATTGAAAATCCTATTTTTCGTTTACGTGTAATGTCTATGTGGAGTAAGTTGGAATTCTAGACAACACCGACGCAAAGCCCCTGGACACCAGGTCGAGTTGTCCAGGGTGGGGTGCTTCGGGGGACAGCTCGATCAACTTTTTTTTCTCCTCATGATTTCATGATCTAAAATCCCTCATCTTAGATAAATTTGTCATTTTATGTATTAAATATGCTTTTATAAACACCAACCCTAACCTAACCATAACTCTAACCCGGCGATTGTACGCCTTCGGCTCGTCAAAAATATATTCTCGTTGCAAAAAATATCAGCTTTATTCTTTAGAACAGCTCTCAAAATACTCACAATTTCCATGTTCCCTGTCATGACTGCGTTAATTATAAAAGCATTAATACATAAAATGACAATTTTATCTACGATGAGTTATTGCCAGTTATTCACCCATGTATACGCAATGTTTACGTCTCTAGCTCCCACGGACAAAGAATTGTTTACATGTCAATACATTTCTCTTTCTATATATCTATCTACTCACATCTCGCTTAATTCTTTCTCCTCTCTACTGCTTTGTTTCCCTTCCCTTCTCTTGCTCTATTTCTGTATCTCTCTTTCTACTCTTTCACCCTCTCCCTCTCTTGCTCTGCCTCCCTCTTTTTCTCTTGCTCTGTCTCTCGATCCTTTTCTCTACTCTTTCACCCTCCCCATTTTCAGCCTCTGGCTCTCGTTCTCCCTCTTTTATGTCTTTGGATGTTCCTTAATTTTTGTCAATAAAATCTATTCTTCCTATTTAAAGTCATCATCTTATTGAAAGTCATCATGACAACTTTTACCATAAACAAAAATATTCTTTTCAAAAATAATTCCTAGGTACTGAGCTTCCTTCTCACATTCCTAGATAAATACTTATAAAACAGTACGACATACACAAATCACTCAATTACTACATATCTCATGAAAATGTTTGGAACAAACTGTTTCAATTTTTACTGCACATAAATTATCATTTAAGCTTTATCAAGGTAAACCTTTAAAGTCAAACATAACATTCTTCATCTTATCAACCATTACATGATATCAGAAGATCATGACACAACATAGCTCATATCACTAAATACCAATCCTAGTCAATATACATATAGTTGTATATCCAGAAATCTCAGTTCTCAACCTATGGTTTAATCAACCAAGTTTTATAATGTACAATAAATAATATGACATTCTTACTTTTATCAAGTCATGAGACTTAGATACATTACATTTCTCTTGTATTTGAGTTGAAATCTGCACATGCAATTCTAAACGCAATTCTAAATGCAATTACTAAAACGTGTTTCCAATAATCTGATTTTTTGTTTTAAATGATATTATATAGCACCCGTACTTCAGAACGTTAATATCATGAAAAAGGTTGAGCATGGTTATAAGTCTACAAACACCTTTGAATAAAACCTTTGCTAAAAACAATGCCAACATAGCACAACAATATCATGCTGTGGGATAATAGCATAAAAACAATCCATGTATAAATATGTATGACATATTCTGCACAAAGTTGAAAACCTATAACATGGCTATACGTCAATGTCCATAGAGTTTGTATATAACCTGTTAATACAAAGTAGAGATTATCAAATGTTCACATCATCACCTGAAGACAATGTCTTTGACTCAAAATTAAACAATTATCCAGCATTAAAGAGCACAACCCATTGTGTTCAGCATCATTAAGCCCTCTCTGATATATTTAGATACATAAGGTGGCTGTCTAATTATCATCTCTTTCTGTTTTTTCTGTTCAAAATGTAGTGAGTAATATTCCTGCACTTGCATAAACTACAATGCGTATATATTGCTGTAATATTTTCTTCTTCATATCAAACTTGTGTAGTGGATTTCATGAATTTCTACAAAACATATGCTCAGGATAATAATTTTGTATGTGCTATCATAGAAAGTTTGATGGGTATACATTTGTGGCTGGGAAGATCAATATAAAATAAATCTCAACATTACATAATCCTGGTAAATGCAATATGTATTCAACAAATGACATTAACAAAATATGTTATTAAACCGTGATACACATCCAATAATTTACAATGGTAGACAGACAAAAGAAATCCATGAGTATAGTGCATTTTACATTCTGCTCATATAATCTGCTGTAACATTATACTGAACCTTCACCGATACAAGCCGAAACCTGTAATCTTGGAGCATCATGCTCCATCTCATGATTCTCTTATTGTCAAACCTCTTCGCTTGAATATAGAAGAATGGTTTGTGGTCTGTGTGTACTTCAATTCAATACAAATAATATTTTAACTTTTTGATTGCTCGTACTATTGCTAAGCACTTTTTTTATTTTGTGTAATTTCTTCCCGTGGTAATGACTTGTTACTCGCATAAGCAATCAGGAATTCTTCTCCTGAATGTTACTGCATAAGCCCAGCACCCACATTTACCTTCAATATAAACTGATCCTCGGCATCTTCTGCAGAATCTTGACACACCTTCCTACTCTCTATACACAAATCAAAGCAGCCAGCCACTGACAAGTTAACCTTCTGCCTGAGAAATTATTTGTTGAGAAGATTAATGTGATATCTTAAGAACACCACTGACAATGTAGTCATAGTCATACTTTACGCCAGCACAGGGAATGGACCCTCCATTTCAGCAACAACTTGTTCTGATCAGTGGGAAGCAAGATAAACCTGATCTCCGTTATTAAATTTCCTGTTTCTAGCATTCATATCCTAATACTTCTTGTATTTTCCTGCAGCATGCACCTTTTAAGGCTTCCTGGGCTAACCCCCATGACTTCACCAACTTCTCACGGAGCACTATGTCATATTCATACTCATCTTTCAACTCCGGTATTACACCATCATTTGTCCTCAATTCCCTTAACATATCAAAGACACTCGCCAAGACCCAGTCTTCACTAAACCAAGTTTCTGAAATGGTAGAAATTTTGAAGATATTCAATACCTACACATGGTGATAAAAAAATGTAATATAAATGAAACATTTCCATTGTCACTGCTAATATTAAAATAATCAGTGTCTCCGTTACCTTTACTACTGCTATCACCTTCACCAGTATTGTTAGTAGGTGAAAAGCATTACCCTTATTCATCTTTCAGATAGATGTTATTACTGATCACTGGTTTTATGCTAATGTTATCGTATTCATTTAATCAACGTCTGAGGAAATTAATTTTTCAAAATATTTTTTGTACAAAGCAAATGAGATATGAGCTCGCATGTGATGTCACACAGTTTGCAATTTGTGCTTCACTGATTACAACTCCAACAATTTATAACTTTCTCATTTGTTTTGATTTTCCTCAAAATTTCATTGATTTGTTTCTCTCATTTATCTGCTTTTATGAAGACCAACTTATTTTTGGGGTGGACTTCTCTTTAACACTTTACATGTATGAAGATCAACTTATTTTCGGGTGAACTTGCCCTTTAACACTTTACATGTATATGTAAGCATCTTAAAAAATGCATATTTATAATTATATGGCTAACGTCATTTACTCCTTACTGTACTTGGGGGGGGGGGGTGGCGTAAGAGCCCCCCCCCCCCTCCCCCACCCCGCATTTTTGGAGATAGCGCCGCAACCGCTTGGAATTTTACATTGTTGTTCTTCGATTCTTTTCCTCAAGTCTTATGCACATTTTGATACCATTTTCATCGAATTTGGATACACCTGTCAGGTGTTACATAGCAATTAGTATGCGCATATCATCAAAAAGTGCTACAATTGCATATATACATGTACAAGCAGAAATGTGAATACAGGTAAATAGATGTATAAGTGGGAGATATGAATTGATATCAAATTGCTTTGATACGTTTCTCAAAGTAACTTGATGTATTCCAGAACAAAAGAATACATTAGAAATAAAATAATAGATCGAGGACTTAAAACCACAACTGTCTATGTCCAAATATGCCATTTGAGTAAAAATGCATTTAAAAGTTTGATTGCAAGCATAAAATCTGACAAAGTGTAGTAGTTATGTTTAATGCCATTAACTTATAAATAATACTTGGTCAAACATCATACATGGAAGCCATGACCTTTTGACCCTGTCAATGTCAGAAACTTAAAAAATGGGAGTGCCAAATACCATCCATGGAACTCTTCAGGAATGGCTAGGCTATTGCACAAGTTGATGAGATCCTTCTTCTTAAGGTTTAGGCTTTTTTAAATGCTTCTCTTGGTAGACAAGGTCCAGATTAGGTGGAACTGATGATCTATCTTCTTGTAGTCATCCAAGTAGTTATAGATGGTAGCAGATGGTGCTTTGCTCTTCCTTCCTGTATTGGAAGCTCTTTACATGTAGCCAGTTGAAGACGTGTCTATCTTCGTCTAGGCGTTTGTTATTCATGATCTGCTGTGAGAGATTTTTCAGATCATAAAAGTCTCCATGGCACATGTTTATGACCTTGTATGGAAGCCGACGTCTTAATTTGTGGAAGATGTTTTACCCAGTCATGCATTGTGAAGACATTGATGTTCTTTTTTTCTGTTTCAATAGCAGAATGCATGCTATTGCATTCCACGTGGGAATGCCCACTCTCCAGAAAATTGTGTGCGATGACTTTGAGATGTGTGTTCTGGATGGCATAGAGTAATGTTGCAGCGACATTCACTTTGCAAATCAAAAGAAGCAGAGACAAAAGTCCTCTTTCCAGCAACTACCTTGGCCTGGCATAGCTGCCAACACTTTGGAATTTTCAATTAGTAACATTTAAGTAAAACTGAATATCATGTGCGCGTAGCGCACATCACGAGCTTTCTTTGGAAAATCAGAGTCAAATTCCCTCATGTAGCAGGGTGTTGTTTGGCGAGCCTTAGTAATAAGGACACTTTTTAGAGTTTCGTTGCTCATGGACCCTCTGAAGTCAGTTTTGTTCTTTCGCACCTGACTGAAGACCCTTTCACATTCAGCATTGGTATGGGGTATGGTTAGAATCCCTTTTGCAAGTCTGTCATAGCACAGTTCACCAGAAACATTCTTTTCTGTCATCATACTTGTCCACTGCTTGTCAGTAGATTCCTCATTTTGCACTAAGTCCGGAAGCTGAGCAATTTGATAGATAAGGAACTGGTTCTCCAGAGCATCTAGGGCACTGTGCTTGTCTTCTTCTTCTTCCTGAAGCAACATGCAGGGGAACTTGTTGATGAAGAACTTTAGAGAAGTGAATTTGGCATCCTTCTGATATGCAATGTCAGCCACTTGCACATGGATGAGAACATCAGACTTCAATAGAAACTTACTTACAATGTAGTCACATGCCTTGGTGTAATATGAATGCACTGCTGCATAGAACTTATGGCAATCAGACTCATCTAAAGTGTTCACAATTTCTCTTGTTGCGCTTTTTATGACCATTTCAGATTCTTCACAAAGATTCTCCTTGTTCTTGTAGTCCAGAAGGGTCAAGTCTGTGGCTGCAATGATTGCTTGTGGAGCTACAAATTGGCTGTACAAGTCACGCAGTAGACTTTCTAGTATTCCTTTTAGCTTTTGTATCAGAGGACTTCTCGTCTGAAAGATGACATTTTTCTTGTGAAATGCAATGATGCTGTGGCTGATATTGGGTTTGAGTGCAATGAATTCAGAATTCTTTCCTGTCTTGTTTTATCTCTTACTGTCTGTCTTGTTTCTTTTTTCCTCCACATCTTGTTTTTTCATTTCCAGTCATTTTACTAGAAATCATACTGGGATGACTGGAAGTTCCAGTCTTGAGCACTGTTGAGCCTGTTGCCTTGCCAACAACTTTCCCAGTCTTCTGCTTTTTGCTAGGTGTATCCGAAGCTTCCTCATTTGTCGTTTTTCCCGAGTAGTAGAGCTTGAAGATGCAGGTCTACTGTGTTGTGGCTGTGGTGTTTGAAGTTGAACCTGGGAGGTAGAGAAATTATTGATTACCATATGAGAAAGAAACAAGACTACTGACACAGTTTACAATTAAAAAGATACACTACATTTGAAATCTTGGCAGATGACTAGCATTATTGAATACATTTTTATATCTGTAAACTGAACAGCGGAGTGAAGATGATTGGAAGAGAAAGAGCTTACAAGTAAATGACCTAAAAATAAGAAGAAAAAATAAATGATGTAAAGGAACATATTTAACTGTCACCCTGTATATATCGTCCCTATTTTCACGAAGTGACGGTAGTGAGGAAAATCGTCACGCAAACTGTATGCAATTTTATTTCACTACCGTCACTTCGTGAAAACAGCGACGAATTATGATCAATTTTTGTACTCACTTGGGTCTGAGACTGGGCAGGTTTGCTCACATGTGGTGGATCTGCAGACACCTTCTTGGGAATGCAGAATGCTTGGAGTTGTGCAGTCATCTTGGTTTGGTGAGCAGGCTTTTTCTGCAGGACAAGACAAGCTTAAAAATTAATGCGATGCCTGCAACACTATTGATGACTTATTTATAAGCATGAAATTTAATTACACATTAAATTAAATTTTGCAATTACCATTTTGGTTCATGTAATATCCATTTTCATTTTTTTTAAACTATTTTAGAGTGTAAAATGATAATAACTGTTGCCAATTTGAGGAGTAAAAGCTGATTAATTCAAACATTAAGAAAGCTCTCTACTGCTAGGGTTAATCTATTCAAATCTGGTAATTTTAATGATGGCCATATTTAAATGGAATAAAAAGGAGTAGATGCCTTGTAGTAATACATTTTCTAGCCTTACCTTCAGTTGAGATCCCTGAGCAGGTTCATTTTTCACAGCTGGAGTTGGCTTCTTTGGAACAAGTGAAGTCTGGACACTATTCTTGGTAGCCTTGGTCTGTTGAGTAGGCTTCTTCTGCTTTGTCTGTTGAGTAGGCGTCTTCTGCTCGGCTGACACTTCTCCTTCAAAAAAGAGGACTAGAGCTTGCCATTGTTGGATAAATCTTGGCAAGCATTGGCCCAAGCTCAGCCATCTCGTACAAGCATGTTTCAGAACTGCCTGCACTTCGTTCCCAATGAGCATCTGGAACTTCTTGAGATTCAATTTCCTGTTCACGCTGGCTTCCAGATAGTAGAACACATCAATAAGGAGCGAGTCAATTGAATATGGTAATGCAGATGACGCATCTTTGGCAGCAGAATCAATTAGATGATTGGGGCAACCAAGCACTGACACTTTCCGAGGCATGCCACAATTTGGTATGGTTTACTGTCGCTGACATTACTCCCATCAGTTGATATTGCAATTGGCCGTGCTTTCATGGCTGAAACGATCTGTCCTTGTTTATCTTTGGCCATTTCACGCACAAGACAAGATGTTTGGTCCTTGCACTGGTAAACTTCATAACCTCCTCAGAATTAGGAAAGGCTTTTTTCAACAATGGTCCCATGTGACTTGCAGCTGATAGAGGAATATTGTGCTCCAAATAAAATGATGTAAATAAGCACTCAGCTCTAGTTATATTAAAATCCTTGGAGGTTGACATCCATGATGTTATTTCTCGTGCTGACGATTCAGACTTGAAAGCAGTGATGTGTTGCTTTGATTTGCAATGAACAACAATGTCATTACAACCGCCATGCAAAATTGACAAATCTCGGCGACATTCCTTGCAAGTTGCATGATGTTTGCTCTTTCCTGATGATGCACCGAAGTCAAATTTATCAGCATATTTCTTGTTGTAAGCATGTCCTCTTTTGCACTCCATCTTATTCACAACGATTTTCTGTCTTACACGATGCAAGGAACTGCTTTGGCATCTTGAGCCTCTGTTTTTTGTACGAGATGGGTTTCCGTGAAATTCTCCTTCTGATCTCCAGACAACTGGTCATACTTCGTACATGTTGCACATTGGTCTTTTTTATTTATCATAACGTTTTTTCCGGGCAATGGTATGGTGTTGCTTGGCCACAATCAGTGAAATAGCTGCATAGGGAATCTTATCTGCTTAATGAGTAGAAAACTGCAAGTATTGCGCAATTCTTGATGAATGTACTTGAAACAGTCTGAACATCAAAGTAAAATGGCTAATGGACACATGGGAATAGACAGTTCTGAATAGACACAAAGTGAAATGAATATACAGTTCTTTGGTGGACATAACTGAATTTCACAAAAAATGGACATAGACAGTTCTGGCTTTAAGCCCTCTAGAAAAAATAAGAAATAAAAAACAATATAATACATATTAAAGAAAATAAAATGAAATTTGCATATTCAAAATTTATGCAAATTAACCTTTGCATTTTCAAATATCGACAGCCCCCCCCCCCCCCCCTGCAGTCAGGGGTTGCTCAAAATAGCCCAGGGCCAGTAGAATTTCAGAAATATGTTTGCTTGCTCTTTCATTAAAATTTAATGAGAAAATTGTAAAGCACAGTTTTTGTTGGGGTTGCAGGGGTTTACTTGTACATGTTTCTATGCGATTCCGTGTTTGTTTTTTGGGGGAAAAAAGATGAAAAATTGTATTTTAAGATCGTATTTCACTCTTATTATCATACTAAATATGATTTAATCGTACTGGTTGGCATCTCTGTATAACCCTCCAATTTTCATTAACTCAAACAACTTACATCATAGTGAATAACCTACTCAACTAAAACGCATTATCACTACCAAACAATCATCTTTCAGCGAATAACATTCCAGCATTGCGTCCCGATATTAGTATTCTTTCATTATCATTAACCTTCCCATTTTGATATTCCATATATAATATGATATCAACCTCTTCTTTACTTAAATACTTGCATGTCTCATTGTCACGTTCAAGCTTGATCTCTGATTTGAGTGTCTTCTTCAGAGTGATGGTTTCCACCGTGACGTACCTTGTCTCCTACTCCAACCCAGTCAAAAAATGAGCACTTTGCAAGGTTCATGGAATGTTCCAACTTCAATATACGGATCAGGTCGACAATCCTTAATCTGGGAAGAAAAAGCATGGATGTATGATCTTGTTATCCATCCACCTATCAATCCAGTATTCTAAATGTGCACCATTGTTTTAGATTTCTCAAATATGATCTATAAGTTCGAAATACATGTACATGTCATGATGTGAGTGATGTTTAAAGATACTAAGGTTTGAAAGGCAAGGAGTGACAACACATAAATCCTTTAACTCATCACCTTAAGAAAAGGGTTTTTACCAACTTTACAACCTGCTTTCAATGTGATGTCCATGGCAGATGATATCATTGATAAGTGTACGGTAAGCCAACAAAATATTGACAACCCTTTTAAGAAGGAATAATATTCATATTGGTTTTTGCAAGAATGAAGACATGATAAATGAAAATGTTTAATTATCAACAAAATTAAGAAATTTACTTGTTTATTCTTCTCATTTTACTACTAATATTAAAAAGCAATCTTAACAGCTTCATGGTAACTATAATATGTAGGGATGACCTCTGTTTCCAATAAATCTAGTCCCTTGCTGTACACATGATCTATCAATGTTCCCTTCTCAGTAGTAGCATTAACAACATGCTGTTTGTAACCTTTATTACACATTAGCTTGTTTACCTGTAAAGAACCTTTAAACAAATCCTCATTAAAATCTCCCATCACAATACACCTAATGCTTGTTTTGTGTAATACATCTAGCAAATTGTCTAATGATTCACAGAATGATTTGATACTATATGATGGAGGTCGATAAACAACTGAAATCACAACAGAAACTGGTTTGGTGACAAGAATTGCAATAAACTCTAAGTTGTCGACAGATATGTCTAATCTACTTGAATATGTATTCTTGATATACATTGCAACACCTCCGTGCGATTGTTCTTTGAGTACATTTCCAACTCCAGAATTACAGTATGACAGATGTCGTGGCTGATGATAAAATCGAAAGTTATCTAAAGCAACGTCACAGAGATCATCATCATTAATCCATGTTTCGGTCAAGCAAATACAATCTACATTCACAAATTGGCACTGGGATTTGAAATCAGTAAAATGCTGTTTTAATCCTTGTACATTTTGCATTACCAAAGAAAAGTTATAATCGTGAATATCTTCGGAAGTTTCATTCTCAATAAACGGCTTCATAATCTCAATGCGTTCTTTAATTTCTGGATTACAATATATACGTTTAGGATCGAAATGTTCTATCACAAGTCCAGATAACGAAGTAACGCGACTAAGCCCAACATATGCCTGTCCAGATTGAAATACATTTTTTAATGATACAACAGCTTTGTCTAATGTCGAACCTTGTACTTTATGAATTGTGCAAGCATAAGCAAGCTTAAGTGGAAATTGTTTTCTCACATATTTCTTACCAATGGATTCTTGAGACATTTCGATTGAATGAATACCAATATCGGCCTTCTCAAAATTAACTTTGATGCAAACTGGATTCAAATTTGTATGATCCGTTATTATTTCTGTTACATTTCCGAAACATCCATTTGTCAGGCCTTTACTAACATCAATGTTTTTGAGCAACATCACTCTAGCATTAACTGCAATCCACAGATAAGGAGGCAACTGGGTTTTCATCTTTGTATAAGGTTTTTCCCGTATTTGATTTCCTTTTTTAACATCTTTGTCCATGTCTTGTGCTTTTACGCATATCATATCTCCACATTTTTTATGCAATAATTTCTTGTTCCAAGCATCTACTTCATTGTTACATGCATAGATATGCAGAGCATTTTCACATTCTTCACCAGTCTCACAGGACTTGAGCATTGCTAGGTCTTCATCACAGAGAATCTCTTCCCCTTGTTTTACACGTAATCTATTTAAGAGAAAAGCAAATTGGGTATCGTCTTTTTGTCTCATAATGTCTTCAAGTTCTACTTTCTTGAAATTAGCATTCCACAATGCACCATTGAGTGTGTCTTTATATAAAGGAGTTCCTAAGACTGGAGGTAACTGATACATGTCTCCCACAGCAATAACTGAAACACCAGCAAAAGCAGTTTGATCTCGTGATTGTTTTATTTGTCGTAGGCGGCCGTGAATGTAAGACATCAACTTTTGATTTACCATTGATACTTCATCTATGATTAAAATTTGCAATTCAGCCAGCTTATTTCGAAGGACACTTATTTTCTCATCACTCAGAGGTTGATACAGTCTTTGTGCATTGATTGGAATAGAAAGAATACTATGTATAGTATGGCCATTGATATTGTATGCAGCTACTCCGGTTGGAGCCATTTTCAATACTGAGACATCATCAGGATGTGGCAACATTCGGGCTAGTATACGTGTTGCTTCATAGTAAAGACATTTGATCAAATGACTCTTTCCAGTACCAGCACCTCCAGTTAGAAACATATGAAACGGTTCGACCGATTTTCCATTTACTCTATCTAAACACCACTGTCGTATTTTGTAAAAAACACTCTGTTGCTTCTCATTCAAAGACCTCATCAAAGAATGTCCATCTTGTTTGGAAATTTTTACTGAACGTAGTTCAATGCTATAGTCATCTTTTTTCGGTTCATTCTTTAAATCTGGGATATCAAGATCTCCATCACAATCTTCGACATCTACATTTTCTTTGGGATGTTCAAGTCGCTCTACTTCCTTTTCCGGACATAAAAGACCCCATGCATCTTCGTGTGGACCAAATTTGTCAAGATGCTCCTGTGCATGATCAATTGCATCGGCATTCATTTCAAACTTCTTTCGGTTAGTACAGACAATTGACCAGACTTTCTCCAATTCACGTCCACATATTTTCACAGAACCTGTCTCGTAGAACTCTTCATGTGTTTCAAATGTTGGGGGCTTTAATTGTCCATCTTCAAAATATGGCAGAAAGAGTTGCAAAATGCTCAAATAATATTTTTCGGGTGAGATGATGGGTGAGAATCGGGGATATCTTACAACTGCATCTCCCGTACGAGTACGCTTCTGAATATATCCCAGATCGTTATCTAATTTAAAGACATTTTTACTTCTTGTACTTGGCGTTTGGGATGCAGTTAAGATTCTATACTGAGAACAAAACGTTGCAAGACACATATCACTGAATTCTGCGTTTTTAGGTCGAGCTTTGTATCTGTCGAGCTTGCTAGGCATCCAAACATTCTCATCATCATCATTATCGTTATCTGGTCTGCTCTTTATAACGCTTAATGGTAAACTCATTCTGACAGGGTCTGGTCCAACAGGAATGAATTCCACTTTCCTAGAAGATTCTTTCAATCTGAGACTGCAAACACGATAGACGCTTTCTTGAGCAGACACTTCACGATTTTGCATGTACACCTGGCCAAGTTTTTTCATGCTTTCCTTTGCGTTCTCATTTCCCTCTTTCATTTCTGATAGTGTATGACTCAATAGCATTCCGATTTCTCGTTCAGCTTTTGACATGTAGGATACAATATAAGCCACGCATGCAAATACATTTGTTACGAACTGCAAATCCATGTTGGCATTCCAGCTTCTTAGTAGACTTGGATTAAACTGATTCACCCATACATCTTGTATTTCTCTTTTGATGATTATACTTTGTTGTGATGCTAATTCATTATGTGCATTCTCAAATTGATTTTGTGTAATGCCAAGCTTTTCAAAGAGATGGTTTACACTGTTGTACTCGATTCCATTGGATAATGCATCTTTAACTGACTTTAACAATTTCTCTGCATCATCTTTAATCTTTTAGAAGCTTTAATTTGATCATTGTCCTTTCCCTTATTTTGCACTTTCCCACAATCTTTAGCTGGAATCTCTTCAACAGGTGTTACAATGAATGTTTTTTCAGATGGTGGTCTTGGGAAATTAAATCTACACGCTTTTCCCGTTTTTGTGCAAGATTTAGAATGTTTCTTACTGTGTTGTTGGACCTTGCTTACTATTTCATGTAGTTCTCGATCTTCCTTTTCATCCGGTTTCTGGCAAGAAATGTATTTATCTACAAATTGTACGACATCATCATCTTTATCGATACCCAACTGTGGAGCATTTTCAACCCAGAACAAGGCATGAATGTGAGGGGAACCACGGGCTTGATACTCTACTCTCCAAAATGAATCAACTACTTTACCAATCGGTGCAGCGGGAGATAAAATAACTCTCTTCATAAAAGTGTGAAATCTTTTATCAAACATTCTGGCAACTGTTACTGGATTTGATCTTAAAAGATTACATTTTTCTGTATAGTCTAATTCACTCGATTCCCTGGTGTCTCCTTTTTGTCTAAGCAATGTATTCATTAATTCTGGCCATCTCATATCGGCAGATGAGAAAGAAGCAAACCATGTCGGCTTTCCAAGCTGTCGTACCATTGCGAGAACATCTTTTTGTGTCTTTTGCCAGAATGGAGGTGTTCCACGAATTTGCTTTAAAAATTTATAGCCCTTGTCTGATTTTAGTATTTTTTTAACTTTCTCTGCATCTTTCAAATCTGAGGCAGTTATTGAAGACGAATCATCTTTTTTGTTTGGACTTTGCCTTAAAGCGATAGAAACTTGTGATATAACCTGTTGAATTTCATAAATATATTGTGCATAAAAGATGTAATCTGTATTCTGAGCAAATCTATTGTCCACGTGCATCAGTCGGTTATGCAGATAACGTCCTAATGTTATTTTTTCATCTCTTCTATCATGGAATGTTGGTTGACCTTTAGGAAATAACACTGGGAAACATTTGGCCTCATTGCTTTCATCTTGTAGAATTGATACAGGGCTTCTTCCTTCACAAGGAGCACAACATATTATGTCTTCAAAATACTGATCTAATATTTCCTGTCCAATATCTACCGGCTGGAGACATGAGTCTAACTGAATACCGCGTAAGCGTTCTTCCATATCGTCTTCAGTGTTGTTGTCATCTATTTTTTGTTGTAGTTTACTGTTGTCTTGCATGTTTTCATTAGCATTTTTGTCTTTGGACAAAATGTAATCAATTTGTTCTTCCATTTCCTTCCAATATTTTGCCAAACGAGCTTTACCACCAATTTCCACTGCTTCTTCCTTTTCATTATCTTTTTCATTTCGTTCAAGTGAGTTTTCCCATTTATCATTTACTGCAACATCAAAATACCACTTATTATTTGCTTTTAAATACTGCAGAGCATTGAGCAAGTTAGATTTATCTACAAATTTGTACTCATAATAGCTTTTGTACGACAATTTTCGTTTGAGTTTAACACGGATCAATTGATCTTCAGTCTGTGGTCTTGGCAACATATCTACTGTTTCATAAGTGTTTGAAGGCACGCACACGACTGGGCCATGGACTCCATTTTGACCACCTTTAGGCAAGGCCATTAACTTCATGAAAGGGATATTCAATGCAATCAAATGCTGTTCTAAATTGTTCAGATTGGCAAGTTCTTCTGGAACTTCATGTAGTTGTAAATTGTTCATGTTTGCTTCTGCAGGTACTTTTCCAGCTTGCAATTTTCTATGACAGGTAAAGCATATCCAAAGTGTCGATCTGGCTGACTGGCCTATTAAACATTTTGACCGGCATTCTGAATTGCAAACATGCAAATATTCTTCACTTATGCACGTCTGAATTTTATAATTACTCTTTTTACATTTCAATACCTGGTTCTCAAAGAGAAGTTTTAAGCATACACAGCACACATATTCTGGGCCATGAGAAATTATCTTTCTAAATTCTTCGAGTACAATATCAAACTCGGACAATTTTACCGTTCGAAGTACAGACCTTTTTTGATTTTGTTTTATTACATTTTGCCTATATTTTTCAATTCTTTTATATTTCATTTTTAAGCTCATCAATTTCTTTTCCTTAAATTCGTTGCCTTTATATCTAATTTTGGACAATGTTTTCATATTTGCCTTTTTTGTATGTTTAAATTGTTGATCGTTGTGATATAATTTCTTCATTTGTTTTTTCATGATATCTTGTTGTTTTTCCTTAAAATTTTCATCGTTCAAATATTTACTTCTTAATTTGCTTTTGTGAATTCGTTTAAATAGTTCATCATGCTGGTATTTACTTCTTATTCTACTCTTGTGCATTCGTTTAAATAGTTCATCATGCTGGTATTTACTTCTTATTCTACTCTTGTGCATTCGTTTAAATAGTTCATCATGCTGGTATTTACTTCTTATTCTACTCTTGTGCATTCGTTTAAATAGTTCATCATGCTGGTATTTACTTCTTATTCTACTCTTGTGCATTCGTTTAAATAGTTCATCATGCTGGTATTTACTTCTTATTCTACTCTTGTGCATTCGTTTAAATAGTTCATCATGCTGGTATTTACTTCTTATTCTACTCTTGTGCATTCGTTTAAATAGTTCGTCATGCTGGTATTTACTTCTTATTCTACTCTTGTGCATTCGTTTAAATAGTTCATCATGCTGGTATTTACTTCTTATTCTACTCTTGTGCATTCGTTTAAATAGTTCATTGTTCCAATATTTATTTTTCATTTTAGTCCTCATAGCTGTTTTAACATTTTCTTTAAATCCTTCATTTCTCAAATATTTTTGTTTATTTCTATACAAAATTTTCTTTTTATAACATAAATCAGAATGATATTTGGTTTTCATAATATTTAGCTGTATGTTCCTGAAATTTGAATCCTCTTTATACATTTCTTTTTGCCTTTGTTTCACATAAGCTCCTTGCTTTATTTTGTGTGATAAATTAGTGTTGTAATTCTCTTTTTGTCTTTGTTTTACTTCATTTATTTTTTCCATGTTATAGGTTAAATCATTTTGATATTTATTCTTCGATTTAATTTTCCTCATTTGCGCATTGTGAAGACACTTTTCCTTTTTCTTAATTATTTCATCTTTGGTCAAGGCTCGTTTTTCTCTCATAAGCTGTCTACTGCGCTTCCTTCTTTGATTAGAACTTTGTCTGTGTTTACGTTTTTTCTTTCCATGGTCTACATTTCCAACATGAACTTCTCCAATTATTATTAATTCATCATTACTATCAGCACATTCGCTTGCATCAATTCTTAAGCTGTCGTTCTCATTCATTTTTACCAATTTGGTTTTTCGAACTTCATTACCAAGGTCAACATCGACTTTTGCATCATTTTCAATGTTACTCAATTTTCGTTTTCTGCTTAAGATAGAGTTGGAATTCTGAACTTTGTTCACTAAATTTAATCTATCAGAGTCATTCCCGCATTTAGTACAATTTTTGAAATCTCCATTTTGTTCATTTACATATTCTGTCTTGATAGAGTCATTTCTTTTCAAAAGACAACTTTTATTCAGCGGTGGTTCTTTTAGTTTCGTTAAGGTAATTGTCACACTCTTCAGTTTCAATTCCTGACCGTTATAATGTACATCATGACTGATCGTTTCATTTGCTTTTTCAGGGAAGAGAAATACATTTGGGTTATCAATCATCTTTTGTGGGGAAACACTCTCATCCAATATTTGAACTTCATCAAAGCTTTCACAATGTATGGAACATCCAGAGCTTCCAGACTGACTTTCACTGTGTGTATTTGACGAAGGAATTGGATTACAAACAAAATCCTGTAACTGTGGATAGCCTTTCAAGGTTTCATTCTTACCGGAAGTTGCTTTAGCACATACACTAGTTACTTCATATTCGGTGTGCAGGGGGCATCCCATTGATTTTGCTAACCTCATGCAATGCTTGTACACACCTTGCCAGCTTTGAGTACGAAGTACAACACTGTGTCCGTTACAAATCAGGAAACCTCGACTGCTTCTGGAATGTGAATCAAATATAAAAAAACCATCTTGACCAGATAATACAATGAAAGTACTTCTAGCAAATGTCACAAAACATGCATCAGAATCAGTACAGAGTTCTTTTTCGAGTGCTTGCTTCAATGTCATCGAAAGAGACTGGGCCAATATCAATTCATCTCCATCTAACAATCCAGTGACTGGTTCACGGCATACTATGTTAAACAATTCATTGTACGCATCCAAATATTCAAATAGATCAGATATCAATAAGTATTGGTTGTCGAGTGAAGTGGATCGCCGTATGTAACAATATAATTCATTACCGTTATTCAAAATCCTGTCTAGATCTGTACTTTTCCAATCATTGGCATTTTTTACCTTGCTATACAACAGTGCAGAAAGTGAATTGGTAACACACTGCTTTCCACTTAAGTCACCAAATCTTGTATCACCTTGATTGAATGTCCCTTGGGCAACAAGCGTTATTTGTGTATCGACTCTCGTGCATTTGTCTTTGTGATCACTTTCAAGGGTTTCGTCCTTGGTGTTACGTTCGTTGTGAACGACTGATTCAGACTGATTACTTGCACACTGTTCATATGTCATGTCCAAAAGATTTGCAGTACCTTTCCTCTCATCGTGATTTATCGTACCAGTCTCCAACGTGAGCCTACGTTTTTTTCCCTTTGGATCAACATGGTTTTGAAATGTTTCAGGAGACTTATCCACTACTTCATCAATTTCTTCCTCTATCTGCGCCTTGGATCTACACTTTTTGAACTCATGCTTTACTTTAACATCAGCCTGAATTGATGGACATGGCAAAGTTCTCTTTGACGTTCTATCTTCTTTAGTTGTTCTTGTCTGTTCCAATGAATTGAAATTGACAAAATCTACAGATTCAACAACATTAAAATGAACATTTCCTGTGTACAGTATATAAATTCCCTTATCAGATGTTACAATATTTATTCTTCCAGGTTTCTTTGCAGAGAACAATTGCCAACATGGTACTTGGTCATTGTATGAATAAATATCAGTATCGATTAAATTTGCTAAAGCGCTAATTTCAGTGTCTGTAGCCCACGTTCCGTCTTCCTTTATTCTACGTTTCAAAACATATTCTCTGACTGTTCTATATTCTTGCCTGAATGTATTACTAAACATGTCCTTGGTTTGCAATAAATGTTTCACAGTGGCATTTCTTAGAATTGCATGATTACGCTCAGTTCCAGAAATTACATAGGAAATTGCACGAAAGAAACAATTGCCATCACCAGTAATTTGTTTACTCTGTAAAGGAACTCCAATACAGCTATTTCTATCTAACCTTGAATCACAGCCTTTGCCTATATATCTGATATTCAGTTTTGAACAAATGTTCCGTTTGTCATTATTCTGGAGGGGTACAAATTTAAAATCTTTATCTGGTCTGTCACGTAATCCAAGATCTGCTACAAATTCAACTTCTGTTTCTGTTTCATCAGTACATGTGTACATATTAGCATCTATTGCCTTTTCAATGTCTTCATCTTTGATATTTGAATCTGAAGAAGATTCTAAAGGATTCCTTGAATGAGCATGATCATTAAATGACATATCAGTATCATTGTCTGTACCATCTTTTACTGTATCAAAGCTTCTATTCTCCAGGTCATTGTCAAACACTGCATCTTCTTGTACACCATCTGAAACATCTGAAAAATCATTTTTCATCATATCATCATTTTCCAATACCGATTCACAGACATTGTCTACTGGTTCATTTATGGGCATATCTTTTGGTCTATCACAAACATTCAAAGGCATATTGCGTTCTGGTAAAACACTTCTATCGCATAAATCACATCCAGGACTTGTGTCTGTATCACTATCAGATTCTATACAATTTCTTGCACACGAACGTTTCACTGGTATATGAACATCACTGCCACTATCATCGTCCGTTTCAATTTCCCCATTTTCATCAAAATTTGATTTCAACAGATTATTCTTTGAATCGTCCTGCACAACTCCATCTGAACCTTTGTTGTCTTTCATATTGCAAATATGCTGGTCTGAGTGTGTATCATTTTTACATGTATTTGTATCAAGTCCTTGGTCACCTGCATTCATCGATATCTTTGTATCCTGCTTCTCATTCTTTACTGCTAATTCTATTCCTTCATCTTTGTCAAATCTAATCTCCGATTTATCAGAAGAGTGATTTCCATCAGTACCTTTTTTCCCTTTGGAAGACTGACCTTTCTTGTTCCTTGCTCGACCTTTCTTGTTCTTTGCTTCTTTTTTCTTGCCACCAGCATGAACTCTGTACTTTCGCAAATCCTTGATCTGTTCAAAAAGATTACAAGTACATACATCGATATCAACACATGTATCTGTTCTAGATTGAGTTGGCAAATTGCTTGCTATGTCTGCCCAGGATCGTGTTTGTGCTGTTTCACTTTGCACACACATGTCATTATACAACTTCATTGCATGTGGGGACTGCACACTGTAGGCATATAAACCTAAAAGAGTTTCTGTGTAAGATTGAACACTGATATCTTTTTTCTCGGATTTCACCTTCTTTTCTTTACAATCAACTTTCTTTCGGTCTTCCTTTTTTTTTCTGCTATGGCTTTCATAGAATGTCTTCATTGCTTTGCCGATGTAAGTTACACCAGGTTCTAAGACTTTGCCATTCACCGATTTTCTTCTGATTTTCCTGTCTGTTTGATGATCATCTATTGATTTGGGATACAATTTTCTTGATTTTAGTTTCTCCACCCATTTCGTCTTCCTTGATTTCACAATTACCCAGTCATCCTCAAATTTTTCATTTTGCATCTCTTCGTGTTCTATTTGGGATGAATTTTCCATAGCCAAAGGATTATGTCTATCAGACTCATTTGTTTTCCTGTCAGTTATATGATGTTGTGTTCCTCTCAATCGATTGGTTTTCTTTCCCTTTTTACCATACCTCTTCTTTGATCTGCCACATTTTCTTTTGTTGGTCGTACTTGATAGGGTCCTTGATTGGTTCAAATCCAAGTAACAGTGTTCATCATGATCACCAAGAAGTTCGTATCTATTGAAATGAGAAGGGATGCATACTTGATCAAACATGCGATGAGCCATGTTGTTATTTCCACAAAATGAACAAATCCAGATCAATGTCAGGTCACTCAGTCTGTCTTCACAAGGGAATCCCATACATGTCACATGAAAATGCTTACTACAACAGTCACATCTTGCATCACTTTCATTTTCTTTGATTTCATTGTTACAGATACAGCATTCATTAAGCTTTGGGTTGGTCACCAATGCACAACTAGTCAGTATATTCATGATTTCATCAAGTGTTTTCTTAAATTCAATTGTATCCATCATGGTAAATTTTGCTTATATACTTGCAACAGTTCTGGTTAATAATTACAAGTCTACAATTAACGGTTCTGTAACTTTGATATATAATGTTCTGTATATATTCCTTACTCCAATAGTCTTTTATTTAAATATTCCTATTGTGAATTATGAAAAACTAATCCTTACTGATATTAAACTCTATGGTATTTCAATAGCCTAGCTTTATATACACTAGCTTGTACTGTGTTAAGGAGCTATAACGTTTTTGTCTCAAGATGGCGTTTTTTATTAAAATTATGAGTAGGTCATTAATAGCCTAAATGTATTGTAGGCCTATATAAGTTCCCAAATTGCTAATTTCTTTGTTACTCTCTCTCTGCAAACAGGTTCACTTTATATCCTGACCAAAATATCTTTCTTATTCTCTCTCAAATCAATCAACCTCACTTATATTTTTAAAACTATATATATATCCTGACCCAATCTTCTTTCTTACTCTCTCTGCAATCAAGCTTACTTTTATTTTTAAAATTCTGAACACTATATATCGAAGGATTTCTTTCCTTTTCTCTTTACAATCAACCACGCTCACTTTTCTAGGACTCTATATATTGACACAAATTTTTTGTGATTATGGTCTTATCAAGTTCTAGGAATTAGAATTAAATTGCTTTCTCGCTGTTGTTCTTCTTTTTATTTCAGTTTGCTTTTAATTCCTTTTAGAAACTGCCAATAATTTCTTTCTAATTTACAGTAATTATGTCTTCTAAAATGGCAATACAGTCTTTCAAACTTGCAATATTGCCTTCTTCACACTATTTTGTTCAATCTTCTTTATTCTTTGCTGTGTATACGCTCTTTTTACTTTCCCAAGATTACTAATACTACTGTTTTGAATTCTAATAGAGGTCTTATCAAGTTCTAGGAATTAGAATTAGATTGCTTTTTCTCTATTGTTCTTCTTTTTATTTCACTTTGCTTTTAATTCCTTCTAGAAACTGCCAAGATTTTGTTTCTAATTGACAGCAATTTTGTCTTCTAAAATCGTAATACAGTCCTTAAAACTTCCAATATTATCTTCAACGACTACTTTCCAATCTACTTTACTCTTTAAAATGTATACCTCTTTTTTTCTTTCCCAAGATTTACAATATTACTGCTTTCAACTGTAATTATGGTCTTATCAAGTTCCAGGAATTAGAATTAAATTCCTGTTCCTCTATTATTCTTCTTTTATTATTTCAGTTTACTTTTAATTCCTTCTAGAAACTGCTAATAATTTCTTTGTAATTGACAATAATTATGTCTTCTAAAATGGCAATACAGTCCTTCGAACTTCCAATATTTATCTTGAACGACTACTTTTCCAATCTACTTTACTCTTTAAAATGTATACCTCTTTTTTTCTTTCCCAAGATTTACAATATTACTGCTTTCAACTGTAAGTATGGTCTTATCAAGTTCCAGGAATTAGAGTTAGATTCCTTTCCCTCTACTGTTCTTCTTTTTATTTCAGTTTACTTTTAATTCCTTCTAGAAACTGCCAATAATTTCTTTATAATTGACAATAATTATGTCTTCTAAAAATGGCAATACAATCTTTAGAAATATTCTGTTCCAGTTTTGATTCGATTCAAGATTTCCAGATTCAAGTTTCATTCAGTATGTTTCAGATTCAAGGTTCAAGATAGTTCAAGTTCAAGTGCTAGTTCAAGTGTAAGTTCAAGAGCAAGTTCAAGTGCAAGTTCTTTGGAGAGTTCAAGATAGTTCAAAATAGTTCAAGATAGTTCAAAATAGTTCAAGATAGTTCAAGATAGTTCAAGTGCAAGTTCAAGTTCAAGTGCTAGTTCAAGTGCAAGTGCTAGTTCAAGTGTAAGTTCAAGTGCAAGTGTAAGTTCAAGTGTAAGTGCAAGTTTAAGTGCAAGTTCTTAGAGTTCTTTGGAGAGTTCTTTGGAGAGTTCTTTGGACAGTTCTTTGGAGAGTTCTTTGGAGAGTTCTTTGGAGAGTTCTTTGGAGAGTTCTTTGGAGAGTTCTTTGGAGAGTTCTTTGGACAGTTCTTTGGAGAGTTCTTTGGAGAGTTCTTTGGAGAGTTCTTTGGAGAGTTCTTTGGAGAGTTCTTTGGAGTGTACCACCCTCGGTCCTGCAAAAGACAGAAAGGAATAGAAAAAAAAATTAATTAAATTCAATACACATGTCTGGGCAATTCTTGAGAAATCATCAAGGAGCTCGTAGGATAGAACCTTGTGGTACACCATTTGTTATAGACAAAAAAATTGAGGAATTATTATTATAAACTACATATTGAGATCTATTAGAAAGATTACTTTCAAACCAAAATGACAGACAAATTTTAGTGTTGTTGTTGTAGTTTCCGAGTGGTGAGTCAACACACTGATTACTGAGCTGGGAGACATTGCCAGGCATAGCGCCATAAATCGAAACTAAAAAAAAAAAAAAAAAAAAAAAAAATTACTCTTTCGCCGCATAGGCCGCACCCCGACTTTTTGATATTTTCTCTTCCAATAATACTGCGGCCTTTACGCCGGCAAATACGGTAGTCACATTACCCAAAATTAGCCTGCTCGGCGGCCGAGCGGCGAGTTTTTAGCCAATTTTGCCCGGTCACCGCTCGTTTTTAAGGCATCGCTCGGTCGCTGCTGAAGTTTTAGCGCGGAGTTAAAATTCGGGCGGCGCCTGCTCACTTTCACTCGCCGCCCAGACTACGCTCGGCGACCGGGTGGTCGCCGCCCGGACGCCGGCCTAATCGAGCGTGCACCGTCGAGCGATTTAGGTCAACAATCGAAGCCCCTAGGTCAAAGGCTGTCGAGCAGTCGCCGCCCGGTCGCCGCTGGAAGATTAGTCGGTCACTGGGCGGCGAGTCCAAAATAGGTCGGCAGCCTTTGACCTAGCGCCTTCGATTTTTGACCTAAATTGCTCGGCGGCGAACGCTCGATTAGTTCGGTGCCCGGGCGGCGAACGGCCAGGCACCGAGCGTATTTTGGAGCTCCGCCGATCACTGGCCGGCCGCCGGGCAATTTCTTTAAAATCAGCCGGGGGCTGGTGGGAGACCGCCCGGCAATCGGAGGGTCACCGGTCGGTCACTGCCAGGACACCGCGCGAAAAAGCTCCGCGATTTCGCCCAGTTTTTACCTAAAATCGCTCGGCGACCGGTCGCCGCCCGGACGCCGGCCTAATCGAGCGTGCACCGTCGAGCAATTAAGGTCAAAAATCGAAGCCCCTAGGTCAAAGGCTGTCGAGCAGTCGCCGCCCGGTCGCCGCTGGAAGATGAGTCGGTCACTGGGCGGCGAGTCCAAAATAGGTCGGCAGCCTTTGACCTAGCGCCTTCGATTTTTGACCTAAATTGCTCGGCGGCGAACGCTCGATTAGTTCGGTGCCCGGGCGGCGAACGGCCAGGCACCCAGCGTATTTTGGAGCTCCGCCGATCACTGGCCGGCCGCCGGGCAATTTCTTTAAAATCAGCCGGTGGCTGGTGGGAGACCGCCCGGCAATCGGAGGGTCACCGGTCGGTCACTGCCGGGACATCGCGCGAAAAAGCTCCGCGATTTCGCCCAGTTTTTACCTAAAATCGCTCGGCGACCGGTCGCCGCCCGGACGCCGGCCTAATCGAGCGTTCACCGTCGAGCGATTTAGGTCAAAAATCGAAGCCCCTAGGTCAAAGGCTGTCGAGCAGTCGCCGCCCGGTCGCCGCTGGGAGATCAGTCGGTCACCTGGCGGCGAGTCCAAAATAGGTCGGCAGCCTTTGACCCTAGCGCCTTCGATTTTTGACCTAAATTGCTCGGCGGCGAACGCTCGATTATTTCGGTGCCCGGGCGGCGAACGGCCAGGCACCGAGCGTATTTTGGAGCCCCGCCGATCACTGGCCGGCCGCCAGGCAATTTCTTTAAAATCAGCCGGTGGCTGGTGGGAGACCGCCCGGCAATCGGAGGGTCATCGGTCGGTCACTGCCGGGACACCGCGCGAAAAAGCTCCGCGAATTCGCCCAGTTTTTACCTAAAATCGACCGGCCACCGACGGGAAATCGACAGGTCACCGCCCAGGCATCGCTGGGGCTCTACAGCCTGCTCGACTTCTCCAACAATCTATCATTTGCACTAGGTGTTTAAAAACAAACAAACTTGTTCTTCTTTATCAACTCCTTACATAATTCAAGGATTCTCTTCAAATTTTGGCAACACCCAATGGAAGAGTATTGAGAATTGTCCACAAAATTATGTTACATACCTACGGAAGTGTCATAGAAAATTTCATTAAGCCATAGCTTTCCTATTCCGCGTTCAATTATGTTCCCAATTATGGAGATCTGTTTCATTCCATTGTAGCTTTATTTTAAAAACTACTTGACTTTAGCCTTCTTAAGCAGATCAACTTACTCTCTGCAACTCTCAGCAATCTTGAAAACAGTCAATAACCTGAAAGAAAAAAAGAAAAGAAAAAAAACAATTGCATTTCATAAAATACCAATATGATTATATTACAAAAATAAATACAAATAGTGAGCCCTCATTCAATGCTTAAAGATACTATGTCCCTTTTGCAGCCACAATCAAATTCTGTAGAACTTTATAGGAATTATGAATATGTCATGTATGTCCTATCTGTGAAGTTTAAACGTTAGCAGTGTCCTAATATTCAAATTATGCAAAGAAACCCGTTTACTTGCTACATTAGCTTCACTGTCAGACACTATTGAGTGACTCACTAGCTTTTTTCTTCTTTGGAAATAACATACATGTACATAAAATGAGCTGTAAAGGGTATATGAGCATTTGTCAACATCAATATCCCACTTCTGCTTGTAATGGCCAAAATTAAACTGATTGAATCTTTGCGCAGCATAAAATGTACGACCATTCGGTACAATGGTCTGAAAATCAGACCATTACTTACTGGCTCTATAGCTCTTAAGTCGATTTGACAACTAATAGTCGTTATTTTCCAACTTAAAGACATTTTCAAGCCCCCCTTTTTTTAGGGAAGTTCTAAATTAGTATTATCTTTCAAATGCTGTTGAAATTTAACCTTTTCATTTTGTTGGCCTGCAAATGGGACATAGTACCTTTGAAGGCAAAGACCAGTTTTGGTCATGCGATTGCATTGTGAAAAAAACGTTGTGGAATCGATCAGAAAAGGTTGCTCAGCTAGCATATAAGTATTGGTGTGATCTGGATCATCAAAATGATGAGATTTGACCCAGTCTTGGTAAAGTTACAAGCACTGTACACAGAAAGATGTATGTGGGACTACGCGACACACACAGAATAATAATTATTTAACTTTTGATTAACACAATAAGACTAACTAGATGGAACTTAGACTGCGTGCAGTCGAAAATGATGCCTCCGCTATAGAGCGATTTTACAAACCAAATCGGAAGCAATTTTTAATATTCAAGTTTGATTGTAATCCATTATCAAGTTTGATTGTAATCCATTATCAGGTTCTCAGAATATTTTGATTACAAGCTATTTCAGTTTGAGAGTAATGCCTCTGGCTACTTTGTAGTGGAGGCATGAAAATCGAGAATGATCTTATCTGTTTGGATTGAAATCAATCATATTGTGATGATAATTTTCATCCATCAAAGTCCTTAGTAACTACCGTTCCAAAGATGGTGAAAATAAACAAGACATACCTCCTCGTCCCCTTCCTCCGCCGAATTCTCCCCTTCCGCGTCCACCGCCGCCTCGTCCACCGAAACAGCGTCCTCCTCCTCATCCACCAAATCCACCTGTAACAAACATTGTATGTCTAGTTAGAATCCACTGTATCGTATTTGTATAATAATTAAAATTATATTATTAAAGGTATAGACCAGTTCTGGTCATGCAATTCAATTGCATTGTGAAAAGAAACGTTGTGGAATCGATCAGAAAAGTTTGATCATCTATAAGTATTGGTGTGTACTGCAAGGTTCTGGAATCATCAAAATGATACAAAATTTTGCCCAGTTTTGGTAAATTAAAAGCACTGTACACAGAAAGATGTATATGGGACTATGTGATATCTATCCAGGCCGAATCTATATTTTAACTAGATGGAATTCGACTGCGTGCAGTCGAAAATGATGCCTCCGTCATAAAGCAATTTTACAAACCAAGACAGAAGAAATTTTTCGAATTCAAATTCAATTGTAATCCATTAACAGGTTCTCAGAATATCGTGATTACAAGCTATTTTTGCATACATAATGAGCCCATGACCTTTGACCTTATGAACCAAGAATTTACTCAGTTCATTGGCTCTGCAAGTAACATACATGACCTAATTTTGTCAGGAATCCATCGGTTGGTTCTTGAGATAACGCGATCACAAGCTGTTTTTGCATACATAATGTGCGCTGTGGCCTTTGACCTTTGACCTCGTGACCCCAAAATTTAATCAATTCATCGACTCTGCAAGTAACATACATGACCTAAGTTTGGCAGCAATCCATCAATCGGTTCTTCAGATAACGCGATCACGAGCTGTTTTTGCATACATAATGAGCCCTGTGACCTTTGACCTCGTAATCCCAAAATCTAATCAGTTCATCGGCTCTGCAAGATACATACATGACCAAAGTTTGGCACAAATCCATCAATCGGTTCTTCAGATAACGCGATCACGAAAACGGGACGTACGTACGTACATACAGACGGACGGACAACCCGAAAACATAATGCCTCCGGCTACTTCGTAACGGAGGCATAACAATCAGGGTTTCATTCTCCTTTAAATGAAGTTGGGTGGGGTGGGGCAAGAGGTGGGACA